ATCCTATGAAAATGCACGTGAAATTCAAGAAAAAATGCGTCCTTCAACTGATCTTGATCTGGCAGTTACCTATAGTAATATGGGTCTTCTATATACAAGCTTAAATGACACTTCGAATGCATTATTATATCATCAAAAAGCTCTTGAAATACGAACAAAAAATCTCGAAGTAAATCATCCAGATTTAGCTACTACTTATAACAATATCGGACTCGTATATGATCAAAGACAAGAATTTTCAACTGCTTTGTCATATTATGAAAAGACACTTAAAATCTATACACAAATTCTTCCAGACAATCATCCTTGGTTGGCTACGACTTACAAAAACATTGGTCTTGCCAAAATATCGATGGGAGAACGTATGATTGGACTCAATAATCTTTGCAAAGCAAGAGAAATACGAAAAATAGCACTTCCTTCTAATCATCCATCAATAGCTTCTATATGTGGTACCATCGGTGGAATATATCAAGAAGCAGGAGACTATACCACTGCACTCAAGTTCTATGAAGAAGCATTAGATATTGGAAAAAGAGCTCCACATATCGATTATGCATGTTTGGCTATGACTTATTACAATATGTCGAGAATATTGAATGAGCTCAAACAATATGATAAGGCCCTGAAATATGCTGAACTTGCGGTGCAATCAGCTAGTAAATCTTCAATGACAACGAATGCCGATGCAGTAAAGTTTAAGAAAAACTTCGAACAACTTCAAACAAAACGATTATGACTCCATTTTATTGACACTATTTTTAAAAACGTGTGTGGGCATGACTGTTGGTCATTTTTTCATTCAGACATTCACATCCTTTTTAGAGAAGGTTTCTGCATTCTGAGTTTGTGAGTGGGTGTGGGTGAGTATGGGTGACGTGTGTGGTGTGTTTTTCTTTCCATCAATATGTTGCACCCATACCCACACCCTGCGTTCTGTCTTTCTTCCTGAAATTTTTCTGTTACGAGCAGTTAGCGATTACTAATCTTTCGGTGGACCGATTGATCTATGCAAAAGAGAAACAGCTATATAGTTGAGAGAAAGTGAGTTGATTTCAAAGAGAAAATAAACAAATGCGTACTTGAAAAATTAATATATATACAGAGTGTTCAAAAAGTCCGTGAGAAAAGTTTACGTAAATATGTCCTATGGAATTCAAGCGAATTAATTTCTTTTTTTTTATAGAATGATAGTATATTATTTGAAGTTTTATTTCATATAATTTGGTTTTAAAAAATGTTCAAAATGACTACAACCAACTGAAATACATAAATCTATCATTTTCGTAATAATTGAAAAAATACTGTATAGAGTTTATTTTCGAATTATGTTTAGCGATAAATCATTTAAATGAAAAGTAGTTTCATCGATAAAAAACGAATTCTGTTGAATGCTGGTAGTCTCTAACATTTTATATAACTTCAACTCGATTTTTTGATGATCGTTCTCGTGAAGTTTTTCGACAAATAACTCGTATGACTTCATTAGAAGATAGTCAGTCATAATTGAGTGTGCTGTCATTTGTGGAATAAAGAAACCTGTTGCAACAGCTCGAATACTCGATAAGGACTCTTGTTCGCAAACATTGTTGACTTCATCGTTTTTTTTTGTTCTATAATTTTTTTTACGTGTTTTATGAAGTTGTTAATTGGTATTGCATTAGTTTAGCAAAAGTATTGAAAAATATATCTAATACACTCTATATCTAGCGTTTTAATGACAAATTCGATTTGAAGTTTTCGTTTCACAACTATAGATGACTCAAATTTGACCAATTATAAAACTATTCGTATTCTATTGATTGTAGACACAAATATTTATCGGAAAATATACAGAACAAAACTTTAAAGAGACTATTATACTATAAAAAATATATGTAAATCGCTTGAACTGTTTAACAGTTATTCACGAAAAATTTTCTCACGGACTTTTATAACACCCTGTATAAAGAAAAAATGTTCAGTTACCAAAAAGATCTCTGTCCTATTTGAATAAAATAAAGTTTTTTTTTTTCGTTGATCTGAATCTTTTGCAAAAATTTACTAAGACGCCAAATGATGAAGAAGAAAACATGATTTACAATTGATAACAAGAATCTTAAAAGTTCTAGTTGAGAATGTATTTCACTGGAAACAGTTAATGCAAAGATTATTTCTTTCTAGCTGTAGGAGACTTTCTACCGAAATTCTGTTTCCCACTGAGCATAACCAAACGAAAGCCAACGTTACGAGCACGAATGAGGTCTTGAAATTATCACGCTTAATCACAAGAGGAAGGGAGAAACTCCACAATCGAGATCACATGATTTCCTGAACAGCTGCATAGATACATCTATAACTCAACTATTAGATATTTTACCATCATCAAATTGAGATTGTAGATTTTTAACTGAAACATCTATAATCATATTAACTGGTTCGAAATTTTTGATGTTGTGCAGAGTTGATAAAGATTACATCATTAGAAAGAGCGTGAAAAGTGATTATTGAGTATTCTATAGTCTCAAGCAGATTTTTTTCAAAAAATTGATTTTCCAGCAAAACCAGCGAGAATTTATGTTTTCCTCTGAGCAATTTTTTTTCTTTCTCATTCTGAATCATCGGTATACATATATACGTATGTGTGTAGAGACACGTCACATGATATTTGTTTACTGTGTGAGATAAGAATCTTTTAATTTGAGAAAAAGAACCTTACGTGAACTTCAAGATTATAAAGTATTTTAAGTGATCAATTAAGAAAAATAAGAAGCTAGAAAGAACGTTGACTAGTGTCCTCTATGAGTCAGATTCACTAGCTTGCAATATTGAATTACTAGTAAAAAAAGAATATGAAAAGACCATATTGTATCCTATCATAAACATCGAAAAGGTAGGACGAAGAAAATACCACGCATCACTTTTTTTTGTATAGTAAGGCACGGTATTCTGACCCTCATCATCACTATAAAATTCTGTTTTGATTCATATGGCTTACAAATCATCAGTTCTAGACATCGAAAAAGACTTGTCTGTTGGTACACACGATAATGAAAATAAAGAAAGTACAACACTTATTTGGTTTGATCCAAATATTAAATCACATGAAGATATTGAAAAAACAAAAGAACAACTTCGTCTTATTAATGATTATGTCATTTTTTTTACTGATCTTGAACAATGTATTAGATATATTGAATCAATAGATAAAGAAAAAATCCTATTAATTATATCAGGATCGAAAGCATCAGAAATTTTACCTCGAATTTGTTCTTATCATCAAATTGATTCAATCTTTATCTTTTCTATCGAAAAAGATCAATATGAATATTTATTAAATGAATATTCAAAAATAATTGGAATTTATATTAATTTTGATGATTTATATAAATCAATAAAAGAACAAATTGATCTTGTTAATAAACAAATAGAGACATTTTGTTATTTTGATCAACATCAAATATTAACGAAAGATCTATCAAAGGAATCAGCAAAATTTCTATTGTTTCAATTATTTAATTATGTTATATCTCATTTTTCACGAAATGAACAAGCAAAACAACAAATGATTGAAATATGTAAAGAATATTATGATGAAAATAACAAAAGAAATCAAATTAATTAATGAATTTGAACAAAATTATCGATCACAAGATGTTATTCGTAACAATCGTTTATTTATAAATTAATTAATAAAGCATTAAAAACAGAAGATATTGATTTATTATATCAATTTCGATTTTTTATTAGTGATCTTTCTGAAAATCTTCAACGTCAACATGAAAAAATTCTATTATCACAAGAAAAAATTTTAAATGTTTATCGAGGAATTAAACTTGACAAAGAAGAATTTAATAAATTAAAACAAAATCAAGAAAAACTTATTTCAATAAATGGGTATCTATTAACTAGTTGAAAAAAATCACAAGAATTCGATTTTGCAAATAAACCAACTAAAAGAATTGATATCATTTCTATTCTTTTCCATATTCAATGTGATATTGAAAAAATTGATAAAAATATTTCATTGGTGATATTGATCAATTGAATGAATATTCAAATGAACAAGATGTTTTATTTAATTTAAATGCTTGTTTTAAAATTGAATCTATTGAAGAATATCAATCATTACAAATAATTAAAATGAATCTTTCAAATCAAGGACAAAAAATTACTAAAAATTATATTGAATTAAAACAAAAACATAAAGAAGAAAGTATTTCAATTGTTTTTGGAAGATTATTTTGTAATTTAGGAGAATATGATAAATCATTAAAATATTTTCAACAATTATTCAATGATTCAAATAATGAAGATCGTGCTTGGATTGAATTTAATATTGGTCGTGTTCTTTCTTTTAAATATCAATGGAATGAAGCTCGAATATATTATGATCATGCATATAATCGAATGATGAACAATAAACCATCACGAATAAAAGATTCTGCTCATGTTCTCAATAACATTGCTTGTATTTATGCTAATCAAGGAAAATATGATCAAGCTCTTGATTATCATCAACGAGCATTAGAAATTCGAGAGAAATTTTATCCATCTAAATATATCGATATTGCTCAAAGTCTGTACAATATTGGTTGTATTCTCGATCAGCAAGAAAAATACAATGATGCTCTTGATTATTATCAAGGAGCATTGAAAATTCAAGAGAAAGTTTATTCATCTGATCATGCCAATATTGCTAGAAGTCTCAGTAATATTGGTATTATTCTCTATCAACAAGGAAAGTACGAGGTAGCTCTCAATTATCATAAACGAGTATTGAAAATTCGAGAGAAAATTTATTCATCTGGTCATATCGATATTTCTTATAGCCTCAATAACATTGGTATTATTCTACGTAATCAAGGAAAGTACGTTGAAGCTCTCGATTGTTATCAAAGAACATTAAAAATTGAAGAGAAATTTTATTCACCTGGTCATGTCGATATAGCTAAAAGTCTTGCTAATATTGGTAACATTCTTTTCGATCAAGGAAAGTACGAAGAAGCTTTTGACTATTATCAACGAGCATTGAAAATTGAAGAAAGATTCTATCCATCTGATCATGTCTATATTGCACATAGTTTGAATAATATTGGCATTTGTTATGAAAATCAGAGTCAGCGAAAGATGGCACTTGATTATTATCACCATGCATTGGCTATTTATGAGAAGTTTCTTCCTGTCGATCATCCACGTCGACAGAAAACCGAGCACAATATTCGTCGACTTACTGAAAGAAAACACAGCCATTAAATGACAGAATTGAGAATAAAATTTCAATATGAATGTAAAGATTTTATTCTAGTGTTCGAATGTTTGTTTCTACTTGTAAATATTCGACATTTATAGATTCAATCAATGCTCCATTCTCGTTATTATATGATGATTGAGATTGACAAGAAACTTGAAATTATGATTAAGATTTATTTATTTTTTTTGTGAATTGGTTACGAGAAAAAATTATTTTATTTTATTCAATTATTAATACTGAAAAACTAAATCGGAATCGATTTTTGTTGATTCAATTAAAAAGAAATGTTTTTTTTTGTTTTCAAAAGTTTTTTCGGTGAAATTCATTTTAATAAAATATTTTTTAAATTTAATTAAAATTTTTAATTTTTCGAATTAAATCGATTTTTATTAAATGATAGAATCTTTGAAAAATTTCCATAAATCTTTCGATATGATTAGTGGCATAGCCAGGAGTTTTAAAACTTCTTGGCATCAAAAAAACCGATGTTTATTGAAGAGAAATTCATTACTCAAGCTCGTTCGTTTTTTTTGTACTGTTTCACAAATGTACTCTTCAACTTTCAAATATTTGAATATATTACGTCAAAAAGTATAAATAGAGCCTTCAGCGAAATAGGAATTTGACAAAAAGAAGACCACCATCGAATTACAATCATTGGAAGCATTGGTTTCATGGGAAAAAAAGTCAGTTGCTATTTCTAGACCACTTGATTAGATCATAACAAGATACAATGTAGTAAAATGATACCACTTGGGTTCTTGTTAGAGCTCATCAGGTCCAAGAATTTCTGAAATCAGACCCAACTGATTAAAATTTGTTGGATCCGGATAGAACCCGATAGACTCTAGTGCTTGTTCATGTATGTATTTCAAGATTTTTTGGCATTGGACAATTGGTATTAGTTCCCCAAAAAGTCCATGGGGTGCTTGCTTTCGAATTTGTAGGTTACCGCCCACTGATGGTACTCCCTGACTATGCCACTGGAACTATATGACGATGTTCACTATAGGAGAAGTTCATTTCTAACAAAAAAATAATAGCTGCGACTTTGAAAAATGTTCGCTCTGCAGAGACTGAATTCCAGTAAAAATTACTCTGTCGGACCGCGAATTGTTCCCTATGGAAGGTTTTACTGTGTTTTTTTCTTTGAATACATATTCATCATATACTCATTGAATTTGTTATATCAGTAGATTGTTTATCTTTCCCATACGACAAAGTTCAAATGAATCTAGTCATTCCTCAACATGCTTTAAAGTACAAAAAGATGACAAGACTTGATTGTGAAAATTTTCTAGACGACAGTCTAGAAAATGGAAATGCTCCAATCAACAAATGATTCGATCGTTCATTCGAAATATATGTTGTCAGCATTACAATTAGATTTTTGTTTCATTTCTATTTATCGAATAAATAAAT